ATTCTGGCTAGTAAGTGGAATCCACTCCTAAACAAACCTGTGGTAAAAGGCATAAGTTCAGTCAGTTCCAGGTGCCATTGCCTCACTGGTCAGCTCTTCAAAGTTTACTGAAATATTTTCCTAAAATCTCAGTCACCCTAGAGTGCGCACAATACCGAATATAGCTCCAACATGCGTGCTTCTGTCATTGCCCGCTATTTCTTACATAGATGCCGAATAAACATTTTTAAGAATTTAAGGAAATTATCTCCTTGTGCCATCAGAATTTTTGATCACTGAATTTTGCTTAGTGACATCTGTAAATTCGCTTCTTTTCTTTAAGGTAGACTCGGTAATATTTAATCATGGCTCATTTTCACCTTCCTTTACCGCTTCTCCTTTCCATCATGGAGGCAGACGCGTCAGACAGTATTTCCACGTTTTAAGCAACAGTCCGAGATTCGGCGAAAGACAACTGTAGTCTGGAGCAGACTCCGTTCATACATTCTTCCCTAGTTAATTTCCCACGTCATTTCTACAAAAACAGTTGCTTTGTCAACCTTTCTGGAGTCTTTCGCAACACATGCCTAAACCTTCGCAGGTGTGACTTCTCAATATGAAGAAGCAGCTGTGCGTGAGCAGGGCTGTCACGGATCTCTATTCCGGACCATTTCGAGAAGGCCAGGACCATGTCGAGACGAGTAAGGCCAGCGACTCGTCTCAGGAAACCCATTTCAGCCGCTTGAACCCGGGATATAAGTTTTTCAGTCGTGGTCCATGGCTCATGACCTAGGTAATCATAGGGATGAAGATCGACTTGAACACCGAGAGATTAGTTTTAAGACTGAGTATTGCTTTAGTCAGAATGGATCGGGTTTGTTCGCGCAGAAAGCCACTGGTTACTCCAATTCTCTGGTCGATCTCTTCCTCAAATTTTCCATCACTGGTAAGTACAGTTCCGAAGTACTTGGACTTCTCCACCTGCTCCACTGCCTCTCCGTTAATCTGAAGAGAGCGACGGGCAGGAGAATGAGAAAGCACCCGGCTTTTCGTTTTAGATGCGGTCACCCGCATGCCGGTCAGGTCGCACTCGGCTGTGAACCTTTCTAGAGAGCGCTGCAGATCAGTTTCAGAAGATACCAGTAAAACAAGGTCGTCTGCAAGCAGCAACCCTCTCGTCTTCACATCTCACCGATACACTCATCGCCTTGGCTGCTCCTGACTATTCTATCCATATACAAAACACACAGGTTAGGGGTCAGAATGCAGCGTTGGCGGAGATCAGTGCCAACGATGAAAGGCTTTGATTTAACGTCAGTTATTCTGAGGCAGCATATAGTGATTGGATCGTTTGTGGCAACTCCCATATGTTCGCAGGCATGCCCACAGACTGTTGCGCGGGATCCGGTCATGGGCGTTGTATAGGTCAGCGAAACACATATATACCGGAAGAGCGAACTTTCAGGATTTGTCATCAGTCTAACACAAGGCAAATAAATGGTCAGAGTTGCTTCGACCGAGCCCGAAGTTAGTATCTTGTATCTTAGAGTTAGTTATTCCGCGGCACCTCCATTTTAACATCTTTGAGTAAAAT